CAGGCCGGGTTGGTTCGGGTTGACCCAGGTTGGGTTGGGTCGGCCTAAGAATTTTCTTCGACCCGAACCAGCTCAAAAGCGGTGGGGTCGACATGTGCCCGGCGTCGGGTCGGTTCGACCCTCTGGCAGGTTCCGACCCAAGAGTTGGGTCGGGTCGGATCTGGTCGGGTTGACCTGGACTGGTCGAGCGCACCAGAAGAGTGGCCCGACCTGACCTTACTGGGCCATTTGCTCAACCCTAGCGATAACGGCAGTTCGTGTCAATGCATGGAAATCGTGGTTGACTTGACAACGAGAGGGAATGGGGACAAGAGTGACATACACACACACACACACACACACACACACACACACACATACACACACACACACACACATGCACACACACATACACACACATCACTGCTGGCAAGTGGAGAGGAATAGGGTAGCATCAAGGCAACCACAGTGTCATGCCATGCCATACCCCCAAATTGACGATGAAATTGTGCTTTGCTCCTTTCCACTTCCACATGGCTGTTCCCCACTCCCTCTCCGTACCAGAAAACCAGCTTCCCTTCTTGCCCATGCCTCTACCTCGCCGCCCTCCCATCCTCCTCCTCTTTCAGCCAGTGGCAAGGCCGGTAAGACGGCACAGCGGAGAAGCAACAGAGGTACTCACATTCCTTGGAGAGTGGGAACCTTGAACATCTGTGCCACGGGGCCAGTGAGCATGTTATAGGCTAAGTCACTGACATCGGAGGGTTGGGGTTTTGGGGATTATGACAGACGGAAACGAACTGGGAAAAGGTTGGAAGAGTGTATGGAGTGGATTATGCAGAGGTGGGCACGTGCACAGGGAGGGAGAGAGTGAGTGGAAGTATGTTTGTGCGTGTGCGTGTGCGTTGCGTTCATGCATGCATGGATTGTTTGTGGAGGCGCCTCAATAAACGTTTCATGGAATGGGTTGGAGAGAATGAGAATGGATCGTGCATCATCATGCAGTGAGATGAGAATGTACGGGTAACGGGTAGTGCATGCATGCGTGCATGCATACATGAGTGAATGAATATACAGTACATGCGTGCGTGCATGCATGAGTGTATGAATATACAGTACATGCGTGCATGGGTGTGATTGGGATCATTAGGGTGGGTGGGTGTTGGGAGGTGTGCCGTGGAATGGTAAGGGAAGAGATGGAAGGGAGGGAGAGAAGAGGGCGATGCAACACTCGAGCTGCATGACGTGAATGCTGGTGCGGTGCGTACAGATGAGTTAGCTGTCCCATGTTGCTGACCGAGTCGGGAATGCTGCCAGCTAGAGAGTTGTGATTCAGAATCCTGCCATGTCATGCCACATGTCATGCCATGGAAGGCAACAAGGAAGGATATGGAGTCTGGAAAACCAGTCGTCCCAGGGAACAGGTATATCCAGTCATGGGGTGACAAACAGCAGAGTGTGTTGCATGCGCTTACACATGAGTTGAGTTCAGTTCAGACCGAGGGATGAGGTGAGGAGTGCCTAGTCACGCAAGCCACGTGGTCAGACGTTACAAAAGGATATGTGGTAACACCAGTGCACTTGAACAGTACGCAATGTCAGTTACACATGTCGAGCAGCCAAAACTATCATCATCGGTTCGGTATGCCACGAAACAACATGAGTGCGTATGTGCACTATTGGGTGAAATACTCACAGTTGGTTCAGACGAGTGAGATCGCCAAGGTTACTGGGAAGAGCAGTGAGTGCATTGTGGTCGAGTGCCCTGACGGAGTGAAACAGCAGCCGCAGAATAAGAAGGGAGGCCTTGCTGTGACGCGTCCCAGCACAGTCAATGGCGTGCGAGCGTAGGGAGGTGGGCTAGCATTGGTGCTATTAGTAGTACGGTATAACTACTACTGACTGACTGACTGACTGACTGACTGACTGACTGACTGACTGAATGAATGACTGAATGACTGAATGACCGAGACAGCAGCAATGAGGTTGGTGGCAACAAAGAATCAGGTTGAGCATTGACACAGGTGCTAGAAAACACACACGCAATGAGCCTGGAGCCACCGACAAAAGAGCAGAATTGGACCATGAAACAGCCTGTGGGCACTGACAGAGAGTAGAGATTGGTGAGCTGCCCAATGGTGTCCGGAATGGATCCTCTGAGTGAGTTGTCATTCAGTTCCCTGCACATGCCACAGCACAGCACAGCACAGCACAGCACAGCACAGCACAGCACAGGGCGGGGTCGGTAGGGCATGGAGGGATGGATACAAGGCGGTCATGATGAATGGCACATGGTGACGTTTCCCGTGTGATGCTGCCAGCCTGCCATGCCATGGTGAACAATGCAACTGCAATGTAACATTAACGGCTTATGATCCATCCATTCAGCACAGCGAAGCTAGTAGCTCACTCAGCGTGGTAGTCTCAGGCAAGAGGAGGAGAGGAGAGTATAGTGTGGGAGGGAGGCAAACCGCACAGGTAGGACAGGTGGACGAGGGCACCGATCGACGCGGGTATGGATCCCCGAAGTTTCTCTTCCCCCTCCCACATCTCTCCCCCCATGTGCCTGGCAGGGGATAAGAAAGGATGGAACGTGGAAGAGCAGTGGAAGACGGACAAGCACGAGGTGATGGGTTATGTGGCGTTGTACTATCGCAGGCCTTCTACCTATCTACTACTTACCTATGCCATGATGCCATCATGATGCCATGAAGAAGGATTGCCCATCATGCATGCATGCGGCATGCCCTTGTGCTAGGGATGAGCAAGGGGCGAACACGAACATGTTCGTGTTCGCCCCTAGACGAACACATCCGTTTGCCGAACCGAACACTGTTTGGTTCGGCGAACACTTTAAGCAAAAACACGTGTTCGCCGTTCGCCTGTGAAGGCGTGTTCGGGCGAACCTCGAATACGTTCGTGTTCGTCGCGGGGCAAATTGCAGCAGCGGCCCGAACACGAACGTGTTCGGGCGAACATCGAACACTGTTCGGCGAACAATTTAAGCAAAAAAAACAAACCGGGGCAAATTGCAGCAGCGGCCCGAACACGAACGTGTTCGGGCGAACATCGAACACTGTTCGGCGAACAATTTAAGCAAAAAAAACAAACCTGTTCGCCCTTGTGCTCATGTCTACCTTGTGCCATCACATCACATGTACGAGCTCGCATGTCACGGTCACCATACCTCAGGGGTGCTCACGGTGCCCAGGGCATGCCCTTTAGTATGGTGAGTGATGACTAGCATCACCATGCGTCACTCTCACTATCGTCGCCATGCGTCACTAGTGCAACTATTATGTTGCAAAAGACGCTGGGCGCGTCGTGCGTCCTACGTTTGGACGCTGCGTCCAGACGCAGGACGCACGCCGTTTTTTTTTCGGGCTGACCGGGAAAAAAAATTGCCCAGCGCGAAACTGACATTCGCGCTTTCGTCGCGAATGTCAATTTCGCGAAATTTTGACTCCCCCAACACCCATTTCGACCTTGGAAAACCGCCCTCCAACCAAGTTTGAAAACCCCCCCAACCATTGTGGTCCACCACCAAGTACTTGTAGGAGCACAAACACTTCATTTGCCTCCATATCTCAAGCTCACTTCAATTCTCCCTAAAAAACCCGAGTGGGTTTAGCTCCTTCAATTCTCCTTAAAAAACCCTAGAGGGTTTAGATCCTTCAATTCTCTTTCAAAAACCCTAGACCATGTGTGACTCTTGGGGAACCTGTTTATGGGGGAAAATATGTTGGATGGGGAAATTTTTGCCTCAAATGTGTGGTACGTCTTTCTCCCCCCCTCCTTCCCATGCCCTATAGCATGTTTTTTTGGCTGCCCAGACGTTTTTTTGCCCTGCCCGGGCATGCGTCTTTTTCAGCGTCTCACAGGGCCCAAAGAAGCGTCCTGCGTCTAAGACGCTGCGTCTGGACGCAAGCGTCCTAGACGCAGGACGCGTCTTTTGCAATATATCAATGTTTGATTTTAGTAATTTTCTTAATAGCACCAAAATCCATGATACCTTGATTTTATTGATCGGATGGCAGCTAGCTATATAACACCTCGCTACCCACTGGGTCAAAACGAGGGTGTTATTCAAGCACAGTGAATGCCCTTAACACTAGCCCACAGGCGTTACACTCGTCACGTCCTTGTTGGTTCAAAACTTCAGAGAGTTGGCTCCCTCAGGGACCTCAATTTTGCTGAGCTAAACAGCGATGTTGCCTGGTGAACGAGGCCAGAGACGATTTTTGAGGCGCCTCAAAAATCGCCACAGGGACCTCAATTTTGCTGGGCTAAACAGCAACTTTGCCTGGTGGACGAAGCCAGCAGTGGATCGTTCGCTGGGTTCAAGCCTGGCAACCACATTCGAGTTCTTCTCGCTACTAGCGGAAAATGTGGAACAGCCAGGATTTGAACTTAAGGGTGTGATTCCACTATAACTCCTCGCTCCCCACTGGGTCAATCAAAACACGGATGTTCTGTAGGCGCAGTGTATTTCCTTTACACTAGCCCAACGGCGTTACAAGCTAGTGCATTGAAAGCAATTTTGCCTCCTTGAATAGAGACAACACTTCCATCAACAACCTGAATTGGTTTCCTGGAAGCAAAAACACTGCGTGACTCACAGTATGGTCACCATACCGTCCACATCGCACAGAATGCCTCTGGGCTTGGGCCAGTTGGGCTCAAAAAAACCGTTCAGAGCCTGAGCTATGAACGCTTGCTCCTCCAAGCACGCGCCTCCTTCTGCCCACCCCTCCATCGTCATGCCCCACTCCTTCTGGCAGTCCAGCAGGGGTGTGACTGTAACGGGGTGCGAATTCGGCACAAATGTCAAACAACGTGCAAGCAGATACGGGCGTGAGCTATGAGGTGAATTACGTGGATGATGTCAGGGGAATGGAAGAACTGGGGAAAGAGCGGGGCCGAAAACAATGACGCAGGTGGAATGAGAAGAGGAGGAGCCAGCAACTCAGTGCGGGCGACGGAGTCGCTCTGGACGAATCAGCACACGACTACAAAGACTCTGGCTTGAAGAGCGAAGCGGCAATCAGATGGTCCGACTAGCTACAGCGGCTGTTCGACCGGCTTCGGCTTCGGCTGTTCGACTGGCTTCGGATAAACAGGAGAGGCAAGGACTGTCGCAGACATTCAATGATTCAGGCCAGGTTCAATGTATCACGAGACAGAGAATCTGCGTGGACGATGTTGATGTTACCATACGCCGCCACTGCTCCAAAGATCCTCTTAGCATGGCACAGAAAATAGAACAGAAACAGGTCAGATCAAAGTGTAACGTAGTAGTAGTGGTGGTACCTTGGGAGGGGTGGAGGGTGACAGTCACTTCTGCAGCAGCGCGCGGGAAAGAAACGGCCTCGAGGCATAACGACGCCAGGAGCAGAAGCGATGTTTGAGGCGCCTCAAATATTACCTTGGGAGGGGTGGAGGGTGACAGTCACTGCATCAGCAGCAGCGCGGGGAAAAGATATGGCCTCGAGGCATGACGCCGCCAGGAGCAGAAGCGGAAGCGCCATAACCTTCCCATCATAGCTAGTACGACTGGTGCTGCTGCTACTACTACTAGTGCGCGCATTACTACTACTTGCAATCCGGGCTCGCAACGAGTTCGCCTCCTTGAGACTTGTTGGAGTCCGCCAATGGCGTCCGAGTCGGTGCATTACGACAGTTGGCTGCGTCCGCAACGGCACTGGCGGCGCTGTGATCCGTCGCAAACTCTCAGAAGACTTAACCGCAGAAACCGCCACTTATACTCGGCGGATGTAGAATGGCTTAGCGAAATTCCCCGTTCAAAACTGGGGACCATAGGTTTCAAAAGGTAGGAAGGTTGGGCTGGATTGGTCCGCGAAACTCTGTGGCGTTGAGATATATAGACGCCGGTCGCCGAGTCAAATACTGTCCCACACGTTACACAATCTAGGATGCACCTGAGGAAACCCATCCCGCAACGTTTCGTGGGTAACTGACGGGCGTGTCTGGGTCTGGTTGCCGTGCTGACCGAGTCGTCCTCTTCCACGTATGTAGACCTACCGTATAAATTTGACTGGCTGTGTGTTTGCAGTATGGGTTGCCTCATTCCAGCCGGCTGGTGACATGTGGCACATGAGCTTGTAGACACACCCCTAAATTTCCCGTAAATTATTAGACCGTATCTGGGGGGAGGCATCTATCCAGGTGCAGGTGGTATGGTTCTGTACTTTCGATAGAGGAGGCCCACTTGCTGCGGGCAATTTTCTCCCGATTATTTTCTCATAGGCATTATACATACATGTATGTACGTATGTATATATATATAATCACTTTATGTATGTAGTACTTCCAGAAACCCACACATGTTTCGCATGACAATCACATCAGACCACATTTTAAACCCCGTGTGATCTTCATAGAGGTTTCTTCCTAGCTCCAACCCTGGGTGGAAGCTGGAACCAGGGCTGATTTTATCAGGGTAATTACCCTGATTTCAGGGTGATTTCAGGCTTTCCACTTCGTGGAGACTGAAATTTCAGAGTTATTGAATTTTCAGCCCTGATCCAATCAGAGTAATAGTTTAGCTTTCCCTGATTTTGAGTGGGGAGAGTGGGGAAAACACAGCGCGCAGACTTTATGGAGAGTGGGGATTTTTTCCCCGGTAACAAAACGCGCGTTACTACTCGGATGTTCAGGTCTCGACCCTGAACAATCAGTGTTAACTACTTTACAACCCTGAGCAATCAGGGTACTGCTTTTCTGGAAAATGTGCACCCATAATAGAGAAGGAAAATTTTCCCCGGAATCAGGGAGGCTTAAAATGAAACGTCAGCCCTGGCTGGAACCCAACCTTTGAAAGTCTACTTCACAATTTCAAGTTCTACAACTTTCAAGTTCTAACTTCTACATCCTGGTCCTCACATGGACCCTGCACAGAGGCCCTTGCACCGATTCGACCCCACTTGCTCCCAAAGTAGCACGCCCCGGGCAGGGGAATCATGATACCATACTAGTGTGGCACGCAGATGTACTTGGATCCAACATTCCTCGCACAGGCATTGCCGTTGTAGTCTGAAAACATGGCAGCTGCTTCGCTCGCGGTGCCGCCATAGAAGGCATAAGCGCCTGAACAAGTCAGCGATGGCGACACCGACTTGGAGCGGCCTTTGTTGCACCGACCGAGTGTAAACGACCAGTAGTCCGCCTTGAGGCACACCTGGGGGAGCAGCAAGGTGTTAATGAGAGGAGAGGAAAGGGAAAAGAGTGGCAAAAAGATTGGAGAGAGGATAAGACTGGAAGTGTGAAGTTTGACTAATGTAAAATTTTGAAGAGAAGGTGCAAGGATAAGACGCATGGTACTTGTCATTTATAGCAGGCATGCCGGTGCACACAATTGCGTCAAAGACCGGATCACTTTGGTTGCTTACACCTTTATGACGATCACAAAGGTGGTGTGCAAATCTGGACCTTACCAGACACAGCGACCAAAACTAAACAGATTGCAACAATTTGATGCTGCCATGCTCTCAAATGCCAAAGACCAAAACCATCCGTAATACGGCTTCGCACAGCTCACCTGGACGTCACCACTGCTGCCAAGAGCAGAGGTACTTGTCGAGACGGTGTTGGAGCAGACGAGGCCGGGGTTGTTGCGGTAGAGCTCGTCCCACGCAGATGCCCCCACCTCTCCAGATTCTCCTGTCCTCGCCAGAAGCTGCGCACACGTGTCCTGTGCTGTGAGCATGGTGAACTTGAGGCACTGTGGGACGGTGAAAGCAAATGTGGCGCTGCGCTCAACGCATACGGATCGGCCCGCCTTGATGCCCTGCTCGCAGCTCAGCCCGGGGTTGATTGCGAGAAGGTCCGACTGGGACCGGATGAGCAAGGCGGCGATGGAATCACACGTGTCGCCCTGGAGGGTTCAACAAGGGGAGAAAAGAGTTGAGGGATGACTCATTGGCCCTTGAGGTTTGCAAGTGCCAAGTGCATGTAATGGTTGTGCTGATGTGAAAGGGATGTGATGAATCTGTAGATAATCGTGCCTGGTTCTGTGAGCCAGTAGTGTAGTAGGGGAAGCGTCAAATTTGCGATAAACATCAACTGTGGCATCTTAGTACCTCCCTCAACTGCAACACCCAAGATATCAATGTCTGCTCACGCCCCCTCACTGATGTTCACGCAGCAACCAGCTGACCTATCTGCATTCACAATCCCTATAAATGGTTCAACGCAAGCCCGGGAGCTCACAGAGAGGGCGTAGAAGAAGGCAGTGCAGGGGACGACAGGAGAGCCGCCGAGCTGGAGCACCGCATTCAGTAGCAGCGGCTTCGAGCAGTCGAGAGCCTGCAAGATGCAGCCCCACATCACGAGCATGAGGCCTTCAACTTCATTATGTGGAAGCCCTAAAAGTACGGATAACATCTATGCATGCCTAGTTTTGAGGCGCCTCAAAACTAGGCCCTAAAAGTGCGGATAACATCTATGCATGCCCTCCACCTGAGTGGAGAAAGACGCACGCGTCCTGCTGCGTCCTGCGTCTGGACGCTGCGTCCAGACGCAGAGACGCAAGACGCGCGTCCAGACGCAGGACGCACCCTGTATATTTTTTCCGGGCTGACCGGAAAAAAAATTGTTGCCCCAGCGCGAAATTGACCCTAACGATTTCGACGCGACGTCAATTTCGCGTCATGTCGACCCCCCCTAACCCATTTCGACCATCAAAAACACCCTAGAGGGTTTACCAAGACAATTCTCCTTCGTAAACCCTAAACCCTGGAAATTTGAAGAGGACGATTTTGCCTCAAATGTGTGCATCGTCCTTCCCCCCCCCCTTCCCATACCCTACAACATCATTTTTCGGCTGCCCGGGGGGTTTTTTTTGCCCTGCCCGGGCATGCGTCTTTTCATGCGTCCTAAAGGCCCTCCTCTAGCGTCCTGCGTCTAAGACGCTGCGTCTGGACGCATGCGTCCTAGACGCAGGACGCGTCTTTCTCCACCCAGCCCTCCACTGCCACTCCCCTGAAACAACCAGCAAGCCCCTCCCATCAAAACCACCTGCATCGCTTTCCCACGCGTGCAGCCCACCCACTGCTTACCGGGTTCTGCTGCATGAACTCAGCAATGGTGTGGCCTATGAGGGTGCTTTTGAGTCGACTCAAAAGATTTTGTAAGCGTGTGCCCCACCCCACTTCTTACCGGGTTCTGCTGCATGAACTCAGCAATGGTGAGGCCCATGAGGGGGTGAACGTCGGAGCAGCCCCAGTTGCTGCCACTCACTGCCAAGCTGGTGGCAATGCTGTCAGCTGAAGAGTGGGGAGGAAGCGAAAGGGAGAAAAAGAGGGAAGCTGTTTGCTGTATTAATGTCTGGAGAGGGGGCAGGGAGTGGGGTGGGAGGATGACACAGTTCAAGTTTCAACCAAGTTTCAACCGAGATACCCTTGGAAGAAACGCTACTAAATACCCGCATTAGTCCTGGGGGTGTGTGTGGGCGTGCTTCTTATGACAAGAGCAGATCCTGCTGAGGCAAGGAAGTAAAAGAAGCAGCACCTGGGTCGCAGGTTGGAAAGCCGTCGACGGTTTGGGTGGAAACGTGGTTGGGAGGGCAGATGCAGGAGTAGGAGCCGTTGCCATTGTTGATGCAAGTGCCCACGGCACAGGGGTTCTTCAATTGCGACCCACACACGTCCACTGCAAGAGAGGAAAGAAAGGCAGATGGGAAAGAGAGAAAATATGATCTGAAAACCGTGGCTGAATATGGTATAATTAGAAACGAAAAACATGGGCCTTTTGCAGTACATTGTGGTGAAATGCACCACTCTAAACAATGCCACACCATAGTGCAATGCAATGCAAACGCATGTCTCACTTACCATAGACGCATATGTTGGAGCCAAACCCATTAGGGACCTCCACAAAGGGCTGTATGGCAGACTTGGGGAGGGTGCACTTGCTGCAGGAGTTGGTGTCAGTTTTAGGGAAGGGCTTGCACGTGAAGCGACCGCACGGGCTGAAGGTGGGATTGACGTCTTGATCCGCCTTGAAACTCTTCTTGCCACATGGATCCCCGGGAACTGGAGGGGAAACAAGGGGGTCGTAGATAGGCAGACATCTCACTCTTGACAATGAGGTAGTTGCTTCAATCTTGACAATCTGGGAGAAGCCTCACTCTAGACAATGGGTTGGATGCCTCGTTCTTGGATACGGGTACGATGCCTCACTCACTCTTGACAATGGGGTAGATGCCAGGCAGCACGTTGATGCCACACACGCCATCTAATCCCTGAATGTCCATGCGCATGTGCCCATTATAGCCCCATTCCGTTCCCCACGAGTTGCGGATGATCCAAAACGGAGGGGGAATACGCTTCTGCACACTGTCCCCCACGGCAACGGAGTAGCCAACAACAAGCACCACGTGGTTCAGCTCGCCCGTGTAGCACACTGGGTCCTGGTACTTGTACGTCTGGCATTGAGCACGGGAAGCACAAATACCAAATTAGCGAGGAAAGGTGGCCGCAAGAGCATTGGTCGTGCCAAAAAAAACAACCAAGGTGGAAGGATAACGAGGTGCATTTGGTATTTGCTTTTGCAAGACATACATTTATAACATCCCTGGTTTTTTTCTCAGCAAAACTAGCATGTTCTTTTAGGTTTCAATCTTGATAAATGCAATGCAACCATTCTGACATTTTCCTCCATATGTTGTGTTGTCTGGCGTGCTTGCAATGCGCCATTGAAATGCTTCAAGAAATGTGCGCATACGATTTCGACGGTGCAGATCCGATAATGTTTCTACACGCCATTTTTTTTAAGTTGCAGTTAGATTCGCTCCAATTGGGCGGGAGAGAACTCAGTGGCGATCAGTAACTCGGTCCGCAAAACATTTTGACCAATCGTGAATGAAAAGGTATGGCTGCACGAGTGCTTGCGAACTCATTCTGTTATACGTGCTTGCTCTTCGCCACGTGCCGGAAACCCTCGGACCGTGGACATATGGTAGTGGCGAAACCAACTGGCGAATTTGGTTCGAGAGCAAGTAACAGCCGCGTCACTCTCCAGGTGGTGGGAGCAACTGCGAGCAGCAACCAATGCGAACCACCAAAAAGTGGTGACGCAAGCAAGTGCGAACTTGTTGCGCGAGCAAGTGCGGCTTGCTGTAATTGATACCAAAATCGATGTCAAACTCTGTCTGCGAACAGCGCGGTCTGCTCGTATTGATCGAAGATGTTGATTTGGCACAAACATAGAAAATCTTTCCTGACTTACTGTTGACATTTGGGAAAAAAAAATGCACACCCAATAAATCGGCAGATTGATATACAGAAAACACTTTCCTGTATTCAGCACCCTTGTGTTGTGTGCCCATCGCTCCTATGTTAAAACATGATGGTTTCACTTCGATCTAGGCTAGGTTAGGTTATCACATTCAACCTTGTACACCTCGTAGCACGAGACCTTATGTTTCAGTAATGCTTTCGTACCATCTTCATTCTTCATGACTACCTTGTCACATGAGTTCCACTCACCCCATCATAAGCGGCGAACGTGGGAGCAGATGCCTGAATGTGAACCACCACTGGCTGCCGCTGCACTGCCAGCATGAGCCCCACATACCCCTTGAACCGCGTGCGCTCAAAGCCTTGGATGGGATAGTATGTGGCCTGGATGGGAAGTTCAGAATCCATCATGCAAAGCAAAGGCATGTAGCTGAAGCTATATTGTGGACAGAACGAAAAAATATCGATCAATTCTTAGGAAGAGTGAAACAACATTGCTGATTTTAAGTAACATTTTCACATACTGGCAGTTTAAACAAGCAACCTTGGGGTTGACAAATTGACACTGACCCTCGTATGTTGGAAAGGATACGTCTAGCGTTTTTAGATGCTCTCATCCAGATGTTGGACGCTCCAACTCGTAAGAGAACGCTAAGACGCTAAGAGAACGCTATCTTGAGCAGCCAAACAAAGACTTTTAGGGTTTTGAAAAATAGGAAAGGGGTGGGGGGGGAGGGGGGGGGTGGAGGGGGAGACGAGGGACGCAAAATGTGGCGTTTTGCCTCGCCAAATGAGTCGACTTAAAAATTACCCCTTTTGGTCAATCCAACTACACGTGAGTCATCGGGAGTTATGTATGGGTCTGCTATCCACAAAACACATGCCCTTCTAACCCAATTTAGAAGAAGACACCTCACGCACGTGTCTGTCTATCTGACAATTACCCCTTTGCTAGTGCTCCCGTATTGGAAAGGAGAAAGTCTTTAAAGCAGCACAACAGCTCTTACATTGGTAGTTAGAGTGAGTCCTCCTTTGGGTAAAGTCAAGAGCTTCTCGAAGGCTTCTGTTGGGGAACCCCCGTCGGCGCACTTCCCTTCTTCTGTGGTGAGCCCCATGGCTACAAAGAGCGAGTCCACTGAGAGTTGTGGCGCGGGTTTCTTTGTTGCGATGCCGTATGCTGCTTCTATGCTCGCCACCACTGCGAACGCCCAGCACGCATCTGAGCAGCAAGTCGGACACAAGGTGAGGCGAAACAATGTGCAGGATAGTGAACGGGGGGGGTGCAGAGCAGTTCTCGGTTTTAGAATAATGACAAGAGAGAGTATGTATCCCCCTTGCCTACTCTGCTCTCCTGAAAACTTTCTGTTTGAAACCCTTACATTGCTCACTGGATTATGCTCTCCTCCCTCCCACCAACGCCGTTACCCTCCCTCCGTCCCTCCCTCCGTCCCTCCTCCCCTCCCTCCTCCCTTTCCCCTCCCACTCTCTCTCAATCAACCCTCCATCCCTCCCCTCACACCCCCTCCCTTTGTCCCTCTTCCCCCCCTCCCTTCCCTCCCCCAGCCCCTCCTTCCCACCCCCCTTCCCTCCCTCCCTCCCCCTCTCTCTTGTCACCGAATATGCACGGTTGTGCATATAAGGTGCCAGTTATGTTGAGGTGTAGTTCTGGTGTAGCAATGTTGAGTATGAATATTCGAGGGTAGGTAGTTGGGGGACCAGCGAAGTTGACGCGAGGTTGGTAGGAGAGCACCAAGGGGGAAATCCACGCGACCAATGTGATTGAACCAACCCAGGCTCGAGCCGCACATTGAGAAATGCACGGTTCGAGCCCAGGCCAGGTAAAGTCACTCTCTCACACAGCCCTGATGCTTTCCGTTTGTTATCCTTTCGCATAGTGGAGAGTTGTTACCTTAACTCACAGCTAGGTGGCACACCACTCGGAGAGGACCCTTGAGGTGGGAGTTCTGACTCTTTCATAACAAACGGAAAGGTGCGCGTACGAGCATGGATGTGTACGAGCTGCGTTATGGCAGGAACTACGGTCGCCATGAGGAGAATCGCGCGCGGCGCGAACACTCACGTGAGCGCGGGCGTTCGCTGGAGAGGTCGCCGCGGCGGCCTGAGCGATCGCCGCGGAGGCCGGCCTTTCGTGCGGATCAGGTCCCTCTCGCGCCAGATCGCCAGGGGGGGGGATCCGCTCGAGAAGGAAGGGGCGGATCTGGATCCGCCATGATGGGGAGTGACCCGTGGCGGACGGACGAGCGCCACGGAGCCGCCGGCGGTCATGGGTATCGCCAGGACACGGGAGCATACCGCTCGCCGGAGGAAGGCTATCGCCGTCGCGAAGATCGAAGTCGCGGGCGTGGTCTGGAGGAGCTCTTCTCGGGTCGCCAAGGCGATCTTGATGTGGATGGAGAAGACGAGGCCGACACGGCGAATCATGTGCAGGAGCCGAATCGCGAAGGCGAAACCAAGGGCGATGACGCATCCCAGGAGGAAGGCGCAGGCGAGCAGCGCGATATACCCGCTGGAGTCAACAACGACGACCCCGCGCAGGCGGGCGTGGCGGCGGAGCCAAGCACGGCGGAGGCGGACGGAAAGAGCGGTGCTCGGAACCAGCCGCGCGGCGGAGAGAAGAGTGACGGCGGGAAGCGTAGCAGTGGCTCGCGCTCTCCGGATCCGCGTCAGCAACGTGACGAAGGACGCGGTGGCGGCGCGCGCTCGCCAGACCCGCGGCTGAATCGTGACGGGGGACGCGGTGGCGGCGCGCGCTCGCCAGATCCGCGGCTGAATCGTGACGGGGGACGCGGCGGCGGCGCGCGCTCGCCAGATCCGCGGCTACATCGTGATGAGGGAAGGGGAGGCGGCGTGCGCTCGCCAGATCCGCGGCAGAACCGTGACGGGGGACGCGGCGGCGGCGTGCGCTCGCCAGATCCGCGGCTGCAGTATGACGGGAGGCGCGAAAGCGGCTACCACTCTCCAGATCTGCGGCCGCTGCATGAGAAGAGGCGCGGAGGCGGCTACCGCTCGCCAGATCCGCGGCAGCACCGGGACAGTGCGCGCGGGGGCAGTGCGCACTCGCCAGATCCGCGGAGGTATCACGGCGGAAGAAGCGGAGGGGATCTGCGCTCACCAGATCATCATTACTCTCGTAATGAGAGACGCGGAGGTGGCTATCGCTCGCCTGACATGCAACGGTACCGTGGAGAGAAGTGGGGAAGCGAGGCGCGCTCGCCTGATTGGCACCTGCAACATGAAGAAAGCCGGGAAGGCGGATACCGTTCGCAACATCGGCAACAGAGCAGGGGCGGGAGGCACAGCAGTGGGTCTCGCTCGCCTGGCCGGCGTTGGCAACACGACGGAAGACGTGCCGGTGAGGGAGGACGGGATCAACGCGGCAGCAGAGAGGGAGGCAGCGGGCTGATGCACAGCCTGGAGCAAGCCAGAGAAGCAAGGGAGGGAATACAGCGGGCGAGAGAGAGAGGAGCAACAGGGAGATCGGCAGGAGGGCCGAGCGAGGCATGGGGAGAAGGCAGGGGAAGCACGGCCATGGTCACGAGGGTGGAGGTGCCAGCACGCTTCTCAGGAGATCAGCGTACGGGGCCCACGCTGAAGAATTACCTGATGCAAGTGGGCAACGTGCGGTACAGATGGGAGAGGAGCGGCATGGACTCGGTAGACTTCTTCCTGAGTCTGCCGAACACACTGGAAGGGGAGGCAGAGACACTGTACAGGATGAAGATGGATGAGCTGATGGAGAGGGCAGGAAGGTACGGGGAAGACCCAACGGAAGCATTCCTAAGGCGGCTGCAGCGGCAGTTTCCAGGCCACACCGCAGAGAAGATAAGGGAATTCCAAGATTTCAGGAAGGGGCGGGGTGAGTCGCTGCTCACCTACTACAACCGGCTGGTTAACTTGGCGGAGGATGTGACTTGTGCAGATATGGGCCTGCTCGTGAGCAAATTCCTGGACGGGCTGGAGGGCACTTTGGGGAGCGGGCTGCGCATGAAGGTGTACGAAATGGGGGCTGACACGACGCTAGATGAAGTGTTTGAGATGGCAGAGAAGATGGAGCTGGCACAGAGGAAATATGAAGCCTACCGGCCCCGACCAGCGGAGCGAGGCAGGGGACCTACATGGGCAGCAGCCATGATACCAGAGGAGAAGGACAGAGCGGCGGGTCGAGGCGAAACCAGGCCTGACACGCGGACGTGCCACAGGTGCGGACAGCCAGGACACTTGCGCAGAGACTGTAAAAACTGCGACTCCTGTGGCAAGCCAGGACACCGGCGGCGGGAATGTCCAACGGCGCCGAAGTGCGAAGTCTGTGGGAAGGGAGGGCATGCAGCAAAAGAGTGCTATCAGCGAGAGGGAGCGGTGAAGAAGACGCCAGAAGATCTGGAGAAGCAGATCAGCAGGCTACAAGCCCAGCTGCAGGCAATGGGACCACGACGCGAAGCAGAGGCGGGGATGTACGCCAAGGAAGAGGAGGAGGAAGATGTGGGGCAGGACGAGGAAGCCGCATTCATGGTTTGGGGAGGAGGAGAAGAGCATGAGGTAGAACATGAAGAGCAACCAGCGTACATGGCATGGAGAGGAAGAGAGGAGCTGGGGCTGCGCAGCGGAGGAAAAGATGCACGGAAGGAGCAGGGGAGGAAGGAGCGGGAGAGAGGACAGAAACCGGAAGAAAAGGAAGAGAGATGCACTGCGGCACGGCACCCCCAGGAGAGGTTGGCATGCCAGACCTCTGTGCTGCTGATTCAAGGCGGCGCGTTGTCAGTGGAAGGGGAGAAGGCTAAGACGGCAATCATAGACACTGGAGCGCAGAGCGTTATACTAGGGAAGGGGATGGCCGAGAAGCTGGGACTGTGGGCACCTGACAGACACGTGGTGAAGGGGATGCTAGTGATGACAGCAGAGGGAGGAGAGTCAAAGTGGATGCCGTGCACAAGGACTCCGATAGAACTGACGGTGCTGAAGGGGGAGAAACATGAAACGCCAGTCAGAATCAGGTGCGGGATTTCAGAATCTGAGGATTTTGACGTGTTGGTGGGAACAGAGATGATTTTTGCATTGGGCATGACCATTTGCTTTTGGAAGGAGACAGTGGAGTTCCGGACCAGGTGGTGGAGGAAGGGTGAGCCACTAGGGCAGCTGCCTGTGCAGTTTGTCAAGACAGAGCCAAAAAGGGCTTACCGGGCGGACCAGAGAGAGGGGACAGCAAGACAGGGGGCACAGGACAGCGCGGCAGGCGAAGGAAAGGGCGGGGCGCCCAGGATGCGTTTCATGGACGAGCCTGGCCAACAAAGCGATTGGCAGCAACCCATCCGGCTGGTGGAACTGTTCGGAGGAATAGGGGCGGGACTGGCAGCAGTGGTGCGGAATGGAATTGCAGTCAAGCAATGGATTTACGTGGAGCAGGCACCGGAAGTGAGGAAAATAGCGGAGCATCTTGCGTGGGAGTTACACAGAGAGTTTTCGGAACTGCTGAAGGGAGAGGTGATTAAGGCAGCAATGGGCAGAGGAGTGGACGATATAAGGGCTATCACGGAAGCTGAGGTAGCAAGCTGGGGGCACGTGGATCTGCTGGTGGCAGGGTGGGAATGCCAGGGGGTATCATGGGCAGGGAAGGGTAAGGGCGAGCAAGACCCCAGGACCAAATTGATGGAGGAACTGTTCAAGATCATGGAGTGGGTGCAGGCTAGGCAGGGCAGGCTGGCTTACCTGCTGGAACATTTAGACATGGAAGGAGATGTACGAGAACCAGTCAGACTGGTGAGGGAGAGAGTAACGAGGCAGGTGGGCAAACGGGTGAGCAGTGATGCGGCGCGAATGGGAGCATACGCACACCGGCTTAGGATGTATTGGCAGAACGTGGTACCAGTGGAGGACCTGCAGAAGGAGATAGAGGGGGTGCAGAGAGCAGGGGGGCGGAAATTGAGCGACATACTGGAGCCAGGGAGAACGCCAGCACCAGTGAACAAACGGAGCTACAGCAGACACTATCCATGTAACCAGGTGGGGCAGGAGAGGCAAGCACTACCCACCCTGGTGTCATATGAGGGGGCAGCAGGATACCGGATGTACGGAGAGCAGCCGGGCCCAGGACTGATAAAGGACCACAAGAAAGGACGGTGGGAAGAGCCCACGGCCTTGGAGAGAGAGCTGGCCATGGGGTACAAGGAGAATGCCATAGCAGCCCCTGGCGTGAGTGAGAAGGAAAGGAGGCGGGCATTGGGGAACGCTATGGATGGGTACATGATGAGATGGCTGGTGCAGCGGATGTGGAAGGAGACGGTGCTACACTGGGGACTGAAGGAGGGAGAAAACACAGTAGCGACAGTCCGGCAAGGGGTGTGGGCCTGCCTGCAGAAAGAGGAGCCAGAGTGGAAGATAGGGGAAAACATGAGCGAGAAAGGGAAGGCAGCAATGCGAGCAGTGCTGGCCAAGCATCGGAAGGGCTTCGCCTTCACCCTGCGGGAGTTGGGGAAGTGCAAGATCAAAGAGATGGCATTGAAGCTGAGCAGTGACGAGTCGGTATTCCACCGCAGGAGGAAGATGCCACCAGGGGATGAAGCGATCTGCAGGGAGAAGCTAAAGGAGCTGCTGGAAGCCGGACTGATCAGGAGGTCAGAGTCTGAATACGCCACCCCAACCGTGGTGGCAGCCAGGAAGGACTTGACAGGCGAGGTGCTGAGCAGGAGAATGTGCGGGGATTACAGGGATCTCAACAAAATCACAGTGCCGGATAGATACCCGATGCCGATGGCGGAAAAACTCTTCGACAAGTTGGCCGACGGGGTGTTCTTCACGACGCTGGACCTGCGCCAGGGATTCAATCAAATCAAGATCAGAGAGGAGGATGTGAAGAAAACGGCCTTCCACGGACCAGATGGGTTGTACGAGTGGCTGTACATGCCCTTCGGCCTAAGGAACGCCTCGGCAGTGTTCCAGCGAGTCATGGATGCGGTGCTGCGGGGAATAGAACGTGCGGCGTGCTACATCGATGACGTGGTGATCTTCAGCGGGACCGAACAGCAGCACCTGGAAGACGTGGAGAGGACATTGAGTGCTATAGAAGGGGCAGGGCTCACATGCCATCCCAACAAATGTAGATGGGGGGAGCGGACAGTGCAGTACCTGGGGTATGAGGTCACAGGGGGGCAGATTGGGATCCAGCAAGCAAAGGTGCAGGTGCTGGACAGGCTGAGGGAACCGAGAGACAAGTCAGGGCTGCGTGCGGTCTTGGGCTTCCTCAGCTACTACAGACGCTTTGTGCCTAACTTCAGCAAGAGAGCGACGGTGCTGAATGGGATGTTGCGAGAGGACAAGGCATGGGAGTGGGGAGAAAAGCATAGGGAGGCGCTGCAAGACCTCATGACAGCCGTGAAGACGGCGACAGTGCTGCGGCTGCCGGCAGCAGATCAGCCCTTCATCCTCTACACCGACTGGAGCAGCCAGGGGATGGGGGCAATACTGTGCCAAGAGGTGGAGGGAGTGGAGAAGGTGGTGGCCTACGCCAGCAGGAGCTGCAACCCAGCGGAAGCACAGTACAGCTCATACATCGGGGAGGGGCTGGCGGCAGTGTGGGCGGTTGGGCACTTCCGGATATACCTGCAGGGCCGAGAGTTCACCCTGGTCACTGACCATCAGCCCCTCACTTGGCTGATGACCACACCAGGGCTGACAGGGAGGAACGCGAGGTGGGCAGTGAAGTTGCAGGAATATGATTTCAAGATCAGGCACAGGCCGGGGAAGACGCTGCAGCACGTCGATGGTCTCTCCCGCAACCCACCGCCGCTGGAAATGGAACAGGTAACACAAGGGGCGGAAGAGATAGAGCAGGAGCCAGCGCAAACCTTGATCTTGCTGGCAAGAGAGGTGGAGCAGGTCGGTGCAAAAGGGAGTAAGGGGCCAGCTGACATCTGGCAGGATGCAAAGGCAATGGAATGGGTGAAGGGAGAAACCGAAGAAGATGAGACAGTGTCCGAAAGGGTGAGGGCACGAGGGCACCACTACAGGTGGTATCAGCAGCAGCTGCAGATCAAGACGGAGGATGGCTGGAAGCTGGTGCCAGCGCCCAAGGACCGTGAGGCAGTGATCAAGGAAGTGCACACTAAGCTGGGACACTTCGGGCACGAGAGGACCGTACACCTGCTGAAGACGGGCTGGTGGTGGGAAGGGATGCGCAGGCAAGTGAAGGAGTGGGTGGAGGGGTGCGAGGCATGTCAGAGGAGCAAAGCAAACCTGACGCAGGCCAAAGCAGAGCTGCACTCACTGCCAATCTGTGGGCTGGGGTTCCGATGGTCCCTAGACCTCGCGGGAGAGCTGCCGCTTAGCAGGAGCGGGAATCAGTATATAGTGTTCATGGTGGAACATGTGAGCAAGTGGCTGGAGGTGAGAGCCATCCCTAGCAAGAGCGCGAGGCATATTGCAGCAGCCTTCAAGGCACAGGTGGTGTGTCGGTTTGGAGCGTGCGGTGAGGTGCTCACCGACCAGGGAACGGAGTTCCAAGGGGAGTTCAAGAAGTTGCTGGAGGAGTCTGGCATCACGCACCGAAAGACCTCCCGCTACCACCCGCAGAGCGACGGGCTGACCGAGCGAGCCGTGCAGACCTTCAAGCGAGGGCTGCGGGCCTACGGGGAGCAGAGGAAGAGGGATTGGGATGATGAGTTGGACTGGATAGCAGCGGGATACAGGTTTGGGAAGCAGGCAGCGCTGAAGGATCATTCCCCGTATAGCCTACTCTATGGACGAGAGCCAATTCTGCCAGTGGGGGCACCGCGGGTATTGACAGACACAGTGACAGCGGGCACGATCAAGAACTGGGTAGCCCTGTCCGAGGTGAGAGCGCGCTACATGCGCTACATGATGCCAGCCGCGCTGGAGAATCTGCACACCGCACAGCTGCGAGATGCCAGGAGATACGAACAGAGGCAACGCAAGGGTGAGGGGAGAACGGCTAGGGGCGTCTGGGAAGGGCAGGAAGTTTATTTGAAGAGAGCGAAGCAGGACACTCTGGACGTGGGATTGGGGACCGTGCGCTGGAAAGTCAAGGAGGTGCGCCCTTCTGGGGTGCTGGTCTTGGAAAACGACAAAGGGGCGTTGTTGAGGGAACATCAGACGAACACAGCCGTGATCAGAGGGACCGGGCCTCAGCGTACTGGTCCTGTGACCCGCGCTCGAGCTGCTCAAGCACGGGCACAGGAGGGGGCAGAGAGTGGCTGAGGCAGCAGAAGGAACTGAGAAGAAGAAGAGAATCAGAATGCAGGCAGATGACTAACAGAGCTGTTTCTCCGACAGCTGTCACCGAATATGCACGGTTGTGCATATAAGGTGCCAGTTATGTTGAGGTGTAGTTCTGGTGTAGTTCTGGTGTAGCAATGTTGAGTATGAATATTCGAGGGTAGGTAGTTGGGGGACCAGCGAAGTTGACGCGAGGTTGGTAGGAGAGCACCAAGGGGGAAATCCACGCGACCAATGTGATTGAACCAACCCAGGCTCGAGCCGCACATTGAGAAATGCACGGTTCGAGCCCAGGCCAGGTAAAGTCACTCTCTCACACAGCCCTGATGCTTTCCGTTTGTTATCCTTTCGCATAGTGGAGAGTTGTTACCTTAACTCACAGCTAGGTGGCACACCACTCGGAGAGGACCCTTGAGGTGGGAGTTCTGACTCTTTCATGAGAGTGGCTGAGGCAGCAGAAGGAACTGAGAAGAAGAAGAGAATCAGAATGCAGGCAGATGACTAACAGAGCTATTTCTCCGACACTCTGCTTCCCCAACCCCACCTTCCCTCCCATCCTCCCTCCATTCCTCCACCCCTCCCTCCCTTATTCCCCCCCTCCCTCCTCCCCCCCCCCTCCAGGCCACTACTCACTACAGGCGTCCTGGTCCTTGACAGACCACTTGAGCCACGGCACATCCCAGGAGGAGGGATCGCGGAGGAGCCAGGCGTCCTGCTGCCCCGAGAGAGCATACGCCGCACTCACATAGCGCGTGAACGGACTCGCACCCACGGGGCGGAAGGTGGACGGGGACACGGTGAGGCCAAAGGCTGCCGCCAAGGAGGGGAATGACGAGAGGGCGAAAGGAGGGAGATAGGAGGGGGGGGGGAAAGAGGGCGAGGGAGGGGAGGAAGGACGGGGGAACAAGAGGGCGAGGGAAGGGAGGAGGGATGGGGGACAGAGGAAGCAAGGAAGGAAAGACGGCGAAGGAGGGAGGAAGGAGGGGGGGAAAGTGGGTGAAGAAATCGAGTGAATTGGAGAATTTCGAGGGGTATGATTGGAGGAAGAAGGGGAAAAGGAGGGCAAACGGGGGAGAGGTGTGCATGGGGGGTGGGGGAGCGGTGGGGGAGGGGTGGGGGAGGGGTGGGGAAAGGGGGCGAGTGCACAGATGAGGGTTCGAGGATATTAAAATAACATGCTTGTAACTAAAAAAAACAAAGAACAAAAAAAAAAAACAGAAAAAAAAAGGACTTTCAGCAAGAAAAGGCTCTCTGAACAGGTGTACCTGGAGTAATGGACACTGGCCTGGATGGTGTGGGCACTGTCAACCCTGTGGAGTGGAGGGCACCAAATCATTGCATGACTGCTTTTGAGTCGACTCAAAAGCAGGCACTGTCAACCCTGTGGAGTGGAGGGCGCCAAATCATTGCATGACTGCTTTTGAGTCGACTCAAAAGCAGGCACTGTCAACCCTGTGGAGTGGAGGGCGCCAAATCATTGCATGCCAAGCGAACAGAATGAATCAGAAAATCAGCGAACGCGTCTTAACTTAAGAAGTTGTCAGCCCAGCCAGCATGACGAGTGATGCCAACAAAATGGGCAGACAAGTCAACAGACGCGATTCAAACAAGTACTTTATATGAAACCAACAGCTAGAAACCAAAGAAACGGACATCTATTCGAATCCGCAACGTGAAGGAGAGAGGGGAGAGCTCCTAGAAAACCTGGACTCACCTGTTTCAACGAAGGACACGAGGATGGCGTGCTGCTGCTGGAAGGGAGCCACAGAGGACGCCACAAACCCAAAGTAGAACGACGCATCAGTCGACGTTGGCTGCAGAATCGCACACAGAGATATATTTCTCTCCAGTAGAGGCGCGTCCGGCTTGTCCCCTCCCGCAGCCAGATACACTTTGAGGTTTCCCATCCCCCCCCGAGCTGCTTCCAGGCTTGTAGTCAATCCATGCGGTGTAACCAATCTGGTTGTTCAGCCGAAAGGGCGAGAGAACAGCCTTGACAGACGTGGCGTTGCCTTTAATGTCCAGACCCACATGGTCTCCTTGCAGGTCCTTGTGCGCTGCATCTGTGAACGTGTCAAACTCCACGGCTATGCTCCGAGCGTCCATGCCAGCGTACCCCACCCCTCCCCCTGCCCCTCCAGTCCCGGCCGCATTCGTCGCCGAAATCTCAAACGCGAGCCCGTTGGCTCCCTTAAAGGATGCGATAGCAGTGGGGAACATGAAGAATGTGAACTCGACTCGGAATGGCAGGTCAGTGCCACAGCCGTTGGGAACTGTTCGGTAGGTGAAGAGAGGGAGAGGGTCCGCAGTAAACACGCCTACCGTTGCTTCGTCTGCGCCCTTGGTGAGAATAGTCGGCTCCACTAGCTCCCTTCTCTTCACAGACCCTGCATGCAGCACGGACCAATAACAAGTCGTGGTCAGAAGCAGAGTTGGGAGTTTAATTGGGCTTGGGGTTGGTTCGGGGTTGGGCTCGGGCTGGTGGAGAGGAATCGGAGAGAAGAGGGGACGAGCTGGAGGAGAGGAGAGGAGAGGAGAGGAGAGGAGGAGAGGAGAAGGAGAGGAGCGGAGTTGGAGTGGAGGGTATGAGGGAAAAGGGAGAGGAAGCGATGAAACGAAAAAAACAAGAACAAACGAGTGCGTACATGCAAAGATGCAAGGATGCAAACGATCTACTAGTCGACATGCAGCTTGTTCTCTACTGTTAGTGTCCCTACTTCTGCTGCTGCTCCTATCTGTGCTGCTGCTGCTACTACTTACTACTTGCTCCACCTTCTCCTACTGCACATACCCGGAGGGGCGCAGGAGCTTCTTCCATCCTGCACGGCTCCATTCAGACAGAGGCACGTGGGAGCGAGGCTCGGCCCGTCTAGATAGCACAGCCCCATGCCGTTGCAAACAGGCGTGGTGGTGCCGTTCATCCCACAGAATGCCGCACACACCGCAGGCAACCGCTGCGCGGCACATGTGACTGCCGGCGCTGCCGCTGCTGCTGCTGTTGCTGCTGCTGCTGCTGCTGCTGCTGTGGAGAAGCAGTTTGCGGCGAGTTTGAGATTGGCTGACGCGCAGTCGGCTTGCTGCAGATCTCCTGTGAAGTAGTTGTTGGTGTACTCGTAGCGTGCCGAGGCCGGCATGTTGGTGCGGTCCAGAATGGGGCCTGTGAGATAGTTGCCTGAGACGTTCCTGAGGGGAAGGGAGAGGGGGGAGGAGGGAGTGGGGAAGGGAAAAGGAAGGAAGTGAGCAGGAGACTGGTGGAAGGAGTGTTGAGGGGTAAGGGACGTGAGGTACAGTACAGAGGGCTTGCGAGAAGGGAAGTGATGCAACAAGTGCTAATGTAATGTCGTGATGAAGAAAAGAGTTGGTTGGTGTTGAGCAACAGAACATGATGAGTATGTAAGTGAGCCAGTGCGCGCAGCATAGGTACGGCTGAGATGACGCACACACACAGTTGCCAAGGCCATGTGACCATGTCTGCTGCTGCAGCGCAGACTGCACGGAGAGAGCAGCTCGTTCCAAGAATGACACTAACGAGGCATGATGTCTGCAGTGGGGAAACTCACAGCACGGTGAGCCCAGTCAACGACGACAAGACGGTTGGGAGGGAGCCACGAAGCTGGTTTGAACCCAGGGACCTGAGGTGAATTGAGCAAGGGCACAAGATGAAGGAGACCATGGGGACTGGCACCGTACAGACAGCTCCGTGCTGCCTCACATCACAAGGGTACTAGGGGGAATGGGGGAGATTGGGGGGGATACTGGGGGCATTGCATGGATGGATCGTGACTGGCATGCGGTCATAAAGAGGAGATGAGATGGAACAATAGCGCATGGTTTTTTTGAATCAAATGTGGGTGCGCGTGCATGTGTGCGTGTGAGTGTGCATGTGTGGGTGGGTGTCTGTGAGTGCATGAATCAATTGAGGCGCACAGAAGGGAAGAGAGATGGGCAGGGCAGTAAGGTACAGAGGCGGACAGGGGCGGAGAGAGGCGGACACAGAGGCGGACAGAGGGGGACAGAGGCGGACAGAGGGGGACAGAGGCGGACAGAGGGGGACAGAGGCGGACAGAGGGGGACAGAGGCGGACAGAGGGGGACAGAGTGGGACGACGCAAGAAAGGTGGTGGCCATGGACGCACAATGGCGCCTGGCACACAGTGGAGGCAGACACGCACGTGGAGGGTGGCTGGAATGAGACTAGGAGCCCTCGTGTTCTATAAACAAGCAGAGGGTGTAAACGAGTGTGCTCCACGGCAGGTTGGCGTCTCCTACCTACAGCAACTCCAGCGCCCCTTTTGAGGCAATCCCTCCTTTATGAGGCAAGGCAATCTCATCCTCATCTAGAGAACGGGGCAGGTGGGAGTGGCTCGAATTAAACCGCCACGCACAGGTAGGCGAGCTGAGCGAGGGAGCCCAGCGACGCAGGTAGGGATCCCTGGAGTTGCTCGTTTGGCATGCTCCTGTCAGAGATGACACAAGGCAGGGGGGTGATTCCATGAGCACGAGGTGATTCCATTCCATACTAATGCTTTCAACGCCCCTGCATGACATTGTGCCAAAGCAAAAACAGGAGAAACGCTGAAGGACGAACCTGGCACAGCCGCACAGGCAGGCCCTTATCCAGCAAGGCGCGCACTCACAGTGCGATAACCTTGCCGTTGCCATCACACAGAATGCCTCTGGGCTTCACCCAGGGGCTTCGTTTGGGTCAAAACTCGCCACGGCGCAATTCTCCCCCGCACTCCACGTCGGCATCACCACGTTCCACTCCGTCTGGCAGTCCTGCAGGGCCGGGGCTGTGCCGGGGAGAGCAGCATGCAGCATTCAGCGCGACGGTGTGGCGCAAGAGACGAAGAAAGGCCGTCAGTGAAGACAGCAGCGCGTGTCGTCACGTCAAGAATTCACATTGGAACATAAATTCCAGGGTTAAGGCCCAACAGGCGGCAGAAAGAGAGAAAAGGTCTTGGGGAAGGGGCCGTGAGTCACGGCGCGGCCTCCCTGATGTCAGGAGCCCGTCTCGTAGATGCCTGATGAATCTTTTTAGTAGTCACGGCGGAGAGCCATTGGTAGTACCTTGGGTGGCGTCGAGTGGGACAGAATTGCCGGAAAGTCCGGCACTGGCGGTGCGCACGAAAGAGAGGCCCGCGAGACATGCGGTCAGGAGCAGAAGTTGCGCCGTCATCCTCACACGCCGGCTACGGCGATTGCTACTGCTGCTACTACTCGACGCCGTAGTAGTTGGTTGGCTATGATCCGGCGAATGTTGCTCCTCCTTGAGACATGATGATGCGCAGTGCGCCAACGAGTGGTGTCGCCGACACTGCATCACAACCGGCGCTGCCGCTCGCAACGGCACTGCGCAGACTCGAATGGTTGAAGGCTCGGGCATAACGGCTGAGTACCACAGACAAAGGGGCCGAAATAAGACTTCACGGCGTCCTTTTCTGACGAGGCTCAGAGACGGACCAGACGCGCAGGCTGAAAAGGAGGAAGGACCGTGATCGTCTAGTACTAATTGTAGGTCAAATGCTTACTGCAGACAAGCGAGTTATCGACGGATAAAGCCGCCTTGTGCGATCCGCGAACCGGTCTGTACGGCTATAAAGGGATAAACTACCCCTCCTCGGCCGCACAAAGGACATCTCCTTGAATCCCAAGTGAACTCCATGACACGCCCTATATTAACCTTATCCTGAGCTCGGAAAGCAGGTGCAAGGAAAAAGCGATGGAACCATCCACCGACCGAGCAATTGCTACTACGGTGTATGGTGGAGATGCGCTGGCGAGGTTGGAAACCAGCTGAAAAACTCATGGAAGGGTTTCGGTGGAACAACATCATCCTCAAAGCAACACAACAGAGCTTACTCAAAACGCCACTTTGAATAATAGTGCAAGTTGCCACATGATGCATGGACACCATTTCATGCACATCCGCTCCGCCTGGAAACTGATGAGAAGGCTGAGAGATTGGACTAGGAGTCTGTTGCTGCCTTATACTGTATGCTGCATCTTCCATCCCTGCAGTGCGTCATTTGCGAGGGACAAAGAGATAATAAATAACTGATCACAAAAAAACAGACGCGATCTCCAGGAAATTGCGTGATCCCAGATCATTGACAGATCGTCATCGAATAAAAATATTGAACCTTGCTTTTGGAACTTGAGTGTGGTCAGGAGGTTGGTCTAAAAGAAGGTTGCTCGAAACGGAAAAGAAACTTGTAAAACAGAGTAGCTGTGACTACTGGAGGGCTGGAAACTTGGCTGGAAAGTCTTAGCAGGGCTGCTGGAATTGACTGGATGAGGTAAAACTTCACTATGTTCAAGATTAACAAGCCCACTAAAGCACAACTCTAGGCATCACAAACAAGACAGATTGAAAGCTCAAACTAGGCTGATAGACAATGTAACTTCCCTGGTAACTTGGGCACAATCTAGATTGGATGGACCTTGAGTGACTTTGAGTGCCACATGAGGTGCATGAATAAGAAAACTCTGGATATTTCTGTTATAGCTGATTCTGATGTGTAGAAACCTGTAGAAACTGCCAACACTTCGGTTTGAAGGCAGCTTTGAACTATATCGAGTCTTCGGCTGAAATCTGATTGGTGGTGGAACTTTCGAAGTACTTCCCGAAGCTCTGATTCATCGCCGACATTCCCCCTTGCTGCTGCTTGTGTGCAAAGGGCTGGGGCGGCAGAAACTCGATTCTCCAACACTCCCCCTCGCACCAGACCCGAAGCACACATACACCCATGCTGATGCTCCTTTCACATATCCTTAGCATACACTTCATGCTGCTGCTCACGTCTCTTCCCCTCACACTCCTCATTCTCCTCAAACTGCTCCACTGCTTCATGAAGTGTCATGAGGCCTGCTCTTGCCTTGCACATGTTGAATGCATCATGTGGAAGAACCTTGGTCATGAAATCTGCTGCTTGATCGAATGAACGGCAAAAGTTGACGGCGATAACTCCCTTCTCTAGTTGCTCACGAATGAAGTGGTACTGCACCTCGATGTGTTTTGTACGCCCATGATGAACCGGGTTCTTGGAAAGAGCTACGGCTGAAGTGTTGTCCACGTAGAGCGGAGTTGGTTGAGTTTGCGGTTGCCTCAATTCCTCCAAGAGTCCACGTAACCAGATTGCCTCCCTTGCTCCTTCGGTCATTGCCATGTACTCAGCTTCGGTTGTTGAAAGTGCCACACAACTTTGCTTGCGCGATTGCCAAGAAACAGCGGCACCACACATGAGGAAGATGTAGCCGCCGGTAGACTTGCGTGTGCTCAATTCTCCCGCCCAATCTGCATCGGTAAAGCCTTGGAGGGAGCTTGCATATGGGCTGGCTTGGAAGAGAAGACCATGATTAGAAGTACCTTTGAGATACCGAAGAGCTCGCTTGGCTGCATGCATATGAATAGGTGAAGGGGCACTCATGTGTTGAGCTAGCTTAGATACCGTGAATGCTAAGTCGGGCCTTGTGCATAGGGCTGCATACATGAGACACCCAACCTGACTTTGGTACAGAGCTAGGTCTTGTGGGGATACCTTAAGTGAATTCTCACCATGATGCTCACTCTCCTCAAGACACAACTCTTTAATACCTATGATATCAAGGCTTGACTCTCTCTCTTCATAGGGCTGATGTGAAGACAAAGGGACAAATTTGGAAGGAAGTGGGGTAGGTGATGGCTTGCTATCATCAAGACCAAACCTCTCAAGGACCTTTTGGATGTACCTTTGCTGGAATAGGAAGATGGACCGTGACTTACGATCTCTCACAATGTTCATACCAAGATAATGACTCGGCTCACCAAGATCGGTCATCGTGAATGCACTCGTGAGAATACCTTTCACCTTGTTGAGAAGATCAAGAGAACCTGAGACTAGGAGGAGGTCATCGACATATACCAAGAGCCAAATGTACTCCCCCTCACTCGTGTGCATGAAGTACAGAGCGTTGTCTCTCATGGACCTTGTGAAACCATGCTTGAAAAGTACCTGCTCAAGAGCATGATACCAAACCCGTGGGGACTGTTTGAGACCATAAAGGGACTTTACCAAGCGACACACTCGACCCGTACCGTCATCATAACCTTCGGGTTGTGCCATGTATACCTCTTCTTCCAAGACACCGTAGAGAAATGCGTTCTTGACATCCATTTGATGGATATGGAGACCAAGATATGCGGCTATGGCGAGAAGGACTCGTACCGTGGTGTACTTTGCTACCACGGCAAAGGTTTCGGTGAAGTCAAGACCTGGAATTTGGGAATAACCTTTTGCCACTAACCTTGCCTTGTACCTATCGAGGCTACCATCACCTTTTACCTTGATCTTGTACACCCATTTGACACCAATTACCTTCTTCCCTGGAGGTGGCTCAACAAGACGCCATGTACCTCGCTTCATGAGACTCTCAATCTCCTCTTCCTCGGCTTTCAACCAATGCTCTCTTTCGGGACTTGCCATTGCCTCACGACGACTCAAGGGCTCTCGCGGAAGGTGTGATGCTGCCATGCATATTGCCTCTACCTTCTTGTGAATGCAATTCTCACTCTCCTCACATGTGCACCTTGATGACATGTCAACCATGAAATTGAAGGGCTTTTTTACCTTGCGGACTCGTTTACCTTTACCAAACTCCTCAGATGGCTAAGACACATTAGTGGTAGGGTTCGGTCTCACAGTGTTTGATTGCGTTGATGCGGCCATTCGCGGCTGAGACAACGGCTGCGACATCGGCTGCGACGGCGGCACGGCTGCTTGTTCTTCTCCTGGCGTGGAAATATCTTGATTATCGGTGTTGACTTGAGGATTATGTATGGTGACTCGTGGCGGTGAAGCTGAAACGTTTGTCGGCATAGTTGGTTGTGAAGATGCTCTTGGTGGGGATCTTGAGACTAGAAGCTTGGGAATTGATGATGACGCTGCCTTGTCGAGAGGTGGTGATGGTTGGGGCTGGTTGGTGTTGTTGCTCGGTGTTGAAGATGGTGGTAACTGATGACGACCGAATCCGGGACGTGGGGGTGAAGTTGAGAAAGGTCTTGGGTGAAGAAGTGAACTGTTGGAGCTGGTGTTGGTGGTGACTCGCTGAAGTGATCCTCGTGCTATGAGCTGGCTTGACGTTGGAACAAGTGATGAACGTGTGGTATGAGAACGAGGTGTTGCGGTGACGGTTGACTTGTTGCTAGGAAGAGTCGTAGATGGTGTTGATGTAGGTACTTGGGGTCTTGTAGCTGTTGATTGCTGCTGCATGGGATGATGATGAGCTTCTGTAGTTGCCTCTGGAGTGATGGCTGGTGATGGGTTTGATGGCGTAGTGGTGGGCTGATCCGGTTGGCGTTGAAATTGTGAGGTTGGTGTTGATATAGCTGGCTGGTTTGTGACTGTTGGCTGCTGCTCCTTTGGTGGTGATGGAACGGTGACTTGCTGCGGTGGATTGTCTTCATTTGATGGCTGAACTTCATCTCCACTTGGTTGAGTAGCTGCTGGTGGCACTGGCGTGGCACGGTTGGATTCGTT